CATATATAAATCTTACACGGTTTATTTCATTGTATTTCTGAGGCAAATATGGTTCTATTTGTATTATAAATCTGTATACATATGTCTATATATAAACGTACAGAGACAATTTACTTTCAAATTAAGGTTCTGGATCTGAAACTTTGCGCAAACATTTCAGATTTAAGAATCATTCGATGTAGGTACATACATATTTGCACGGAAAGATTTTTAAAATTTTACATTGAGCAATTTTAAAATATAAAACTGAATCTCACACACTAATTCTCATTTTCACCAATTTTGAAAATTTCATTTCTTTATTTCCAATTTTGTATGGTTTTAAAATGCATGAAAACTTAAAAAAGTAAAGTAAAGTATTTTAAACTGTCCATAAATATGCGTTTCAGAGAATCTGGTTATTTCAGTTTTCTCTTGCGGCTTACAGCAGGGCGAGAACTCTCCCCAGACTCAAAAATTAAGATTAGTGCAACAAGAGATTATTTTGCGAGATTTAATCGATTGGGTATTTGAACCTCAGACTGGTGTAATTACTCAAAACCACTTGAAGGATCGATCAATTTCGCGTCCACAAAATAAGCACTGTACGACAGTTAATAAAGAAATGGTTAATGTGTTGTCCGGAGTAGAAATGGCGTCGATATCTACTGTCGTTTCTGAAATTCCACAGGAGCAAGTAGAAGTAGGGGAGTTGCACCTCATGACTTGATACTAAAAGATGGAACAGTTGTTACGCTAATCCACAATCTAAATATCTACATATGAAGGGTTAGTTAATGGTCTCGCCTAATAGTTAAAGAGTTACAATGTAATTGTTTGGATGCCGCAATACAAATATGTACATATAAAGGGTTAGTTAATGAACTTTAAACTTGTGATTCGAATTATACTATCCCATATAAATTAACACCCTAGCGAATCAACACTTGCTTTTGTATTTGAACGTCGCCAATTCAAAATTATTGTAGCGTTCGCAATAACAATAAATAAGTCTCAAGGTCAGACCCTAGCAAGAAGATTGCTTAACGCATGGCGTATTGAGTAGAGTACGATCTTGCCCAAATAAAAGTTAAAGTTAACTACCAAAAGCAATGTATGTGGTTTTTAGAATAAAAAAATATGCATTATTGAAATATCGATTATTACTAGTCTCTATTATTAGAATGTTTAACTTTTAGGTGTTCTCGTCCTTAAGTTATTTGTTTTTTGTTATTTTATGGCCTTATAACAATTATATTCAAAAATTTTTCTTGAGCTTGAGGCCGTTTTTAATGAAAAACTAGTTGTGGAAAAGCAACAATAATTTGAAAAAATGGTAGAAGTGATAGCTATTTCGGAAATCACCTCATTTCCTCATCAGACTTCTTTCATTAGGATTCGAACCAACGATCCCACTGACTCAGCCAGTTGCCTACGTACTGTGCTAAGTTCGCCTTGTGAATTCTTGTTGCTTTTTCCACTATTTCATTTGTTAAGCCAACCACAATCAAGCGCAGCTGTTCCAGTGCTATTTAAGCTTGATCATGTGGTTGTTGGTTTTGTTGGGTTTTGTTAATATTTCTATTATTAGAATGTTTAACTTTTAGGTGTGCTTGTCCTTAAGTTATTTGTTTTTGTTATTTTATGGCTGTTCGGAGCAGCAGCCGATAATGCAATGAACATAAATCATTAGCCTCACATCGCAATATAAAGCGTTACATTTAAGAATCAAATATTTTTTAATTATTTTGTTTAAACTTCTAAACATTTTGTACCACCCTAGCATATCTATTCCCAGTCCGCTATTGAACATACATCGTTATTGTAAAACCACTCACTTTATATTCCAATTGCAAAAGGTATGGGCATATACATGGAGGAGGGTAATTATTTGGGCTCATACATACTATTATACTGGATGAATGCAGGCGAACGGGATATGATGTGTACATGGTATGTACATCTGCGGTCGCTCTTAAGGCGGGCGAACAAGCATATACACATATCCATGAAAACGGTCCATATGTATATCAAATAATGAGAGCATGTAAAAAAGAACAGTTTTAACTATGTATTACTTTTTATCGCTCGAGGCTCTCATCTTCATAGAATTAAATATCACCGTTGTAAACTCCATAATTCCCCTTTATGCTCACTGAGAACTAACATTTGCACATAATGTATACATACATACCTACACTAATAGGCTATTGCTCATGCGGAATTAAGCTTTGCAAACATTCGATTTTGGCAATAGTGGTGAGCAGCAGCTCAGCAGCGGCATAGGTGCAATTTATAGTTTAAGCGCACGGCACACATCATCGTTTAGAATTCAGAATTAAAAATAAAATAAAAATTAAATTGCTTCAACAAATCAAATGTGTTGACCTTTTTTGTTAATTTGGAGTTTAATAGCTGCAAAAAAAGATTTGCAGCTCAACATTTGTGGACTCCGACGTGATTGCCGTGCTTTTTTTTGGAATTGTGCTTTTCGATATTTGGGGATTAAATTGTGTGCATAACGCTTTGTACATAATAACATACTCGTATACGCCTATAGCCGAAAATTTGAATCCGTTATTCAAGAGCACGGAACTTTGTGAAACATGTAGCGTGATCTTGAAACAGTTACAAGTGTTACGATGGACGAATACGCTCTGACGGCACTACTGGACTCATTGGGGGAACTGAAGTCAAGTTTCAACAGTGCGCACACAAGCTTGGAAGAATTGGATTTGGATTCAATTTGTAGCGATCTGCCTGGTAAATTCGACTCCAATTTAGTTAACCTCAGATCCACTCTGCAGCGTGAAATTGGAAAGCGCAGTGCACCTCAGCTATGCTCCACATTCAGGGTTAACGCCAATGAGTCGCAATTAATTATAGTGAACGCCAACCGATCGCGCTTGCCGTTACTTACACTGCCAAAGTTCACTGGTGCCTATACTGAGTGGACAAACTTCTTCTCCATGTTCGTATCTGTCACCGACAAGGATAGCGACCTTACGCCGGTCGACAAGCTTCAACATCTACGTTCCTGCCTGAGTGGTGCCGCGCTGAATACCATACGTTCTCTAGAAATAAATGAGGCTAATTATAAAAATGCGTTAGATCTTTTGCATAAGCGTTTGATAACAAGCGTCTTATATTTCAGGCACACATCAGGGAGATCTTCGGGCTGGGCAAAGCAGATGGGTCAGTAGGCAGGGAACTAACTGACAAAGTTACAGCTCACATACGTGCACTTCAATCGCTTGGGTCCAAGGAGCAAATATCCAACTGTATCATTGTACAACTACTAATGAAGAAGTTAGACAAAGCGATTCAATCGAAATGGGAGGAGATTTCGCCGACAAACGAACTACCTTCGTAGGACCAGTTATCTACATTTCTGGAGAAGCGCAGTAGAACGCTCGAAAACGTCGAACACATTATGCAAGCACCAGTTGGTCAAGCTGGTAAATCTGGTAAAAACGTGAGTACCAACCAAAGAAAATCATTTGTTGCTTCTGGGCGGTTGCATATTTTGTGGATTCCATGAGCATCTGATATACTATTGTCCTCGCTTTACAAATCTGTCACCAAACCTCCGCCAAAAGGAGGTTAAACAACTCGCTCTATGTCTCAATTGTCAAAAAAAAAGGTCATCAGATGCTCGACTGCAAATCGGGGTTTTATCGTAACTGTCAATCAAAGCACCATACACTTTTGCTCTTTAATCGCTCTGCTCCAACTGCCACCAGCCCTCAAGGCTTAACTTTGAAATCCGATACAGCTCAACCTAATGTCATGACTGCAGCCTTATCTGCCTCGTCCCAGGCCCTTACTTCTCCATCTGATGTAGTGCTGCTAGCCACTGGGGTAATTGTTGTAAAAAGTCGTGCCGGCACTTTCGTACCTTGTCGTGCGCTGTTAGACTCTGGTTCACAGCTGCACTTTAACACATCTCGTTTCACAAACCAGCTGCAGCTGCGCAAAACCAAAACCTTCGCTACAGTATCTGCCATTGGCGACGTCAACTTTTCAACGGAGGGATACTCGATCGATCTCATACTGAAGTCGCGGACTTCAGATTTCTCGACGACGATTACTGCTGTTGTTGCACAAACGATCACTGAAAGTCAACCTGGCCTTACAGTGAGCACCGTAACCACAGCGTATTGATCTGCTTATAGGAGCAGGACTCTTCTTCGAACTTCTCTGTGTGGGCCAAATTCAGTTGGCGCCTGGGCTGCCATTGCTTCAAAAAACTCGGTTTGGATGGGTCCTGTCTGGTGGTGGACAACAAACGCCCAAGCTCTCATCTTTCGTCGTACGTCAACGATCATCTACTGACATTGATTGTAGTATTCGGCTAGATTATTAAGTGCGTCGTTTTTGGGAAATCGACCATGTAATTGAGCCAATCGTTAAAACAACAAAAGAATAGCTCGACTGCGAAGAGCACTTTAAGCAAAATTATGCGCGCCTGTCTTCAGGCAGGTATTCCGTGTGTCTGCCGATGAAGAGTAGCGTGGAGTCACTAGGTGATTCGTATTTACAGGCAGTACACCGCTTTCGCAGTCTTGAATGAAAACTGACTCGCAATCCACAGCTCAAGGAACAATATGTGGCATTCATTAACGAATATCTGGATCTCAACCTCATGTCACTAGTCTCCAGTAAGGATGTTCATGACTGTAAGTTTTTCCTTCCACATCACTGTGTCATCAAGGATGAAAGCACTACAACAAAGCTGAGAGTTGTATTTGATGGCTCTGCAGCTACAACTTTGGGCTTGTCGCTGAACGATCTGCTCATGTCAGGTCAAACAATTCAACCGAAGCTTTTCAACATCCTGATTCGATTCCGTTCGTTTCCGTCGCACTTACTGGACACATCTGCAAAATGTATAGATGCGATCGAGTCACTGCACCAGACGACATGCTCCATTGTATACTATGGCGTGACTCTCCACAAGATGACCTACGCGTGTACAAGTTGAATACGGTAACCTATGGAACTAAGCCTACATCATTTCTAGCTATTCGGGCCATGCATCAGCTCGCGTTTGATGAATCATCAGCATATCCCCTGGGTTCAAAGGTCGTTCTTCGAGACTTCTATGTGGATGATATGATATCTGGTGGCAATTCAGTGCGGGAAGTGCGAAACATTATGCAGCAAACAACAGGTCTTCTTTCTCGAGGTAATTTCCAATTACGGAAATGGTGCTCCAACAGCCCTGATGTTCTCGGCGATATTCCCCAAACAGAAAGAGAAAGCTTTCTCAAATTCGATGACGGCAGTGATATCACCAAGGCTCTGGGACTAGTCTGGGATCCGTTCAAAGACACTCTGTTGTTTTCGTTTTCGCCGATCAGATCTGGCAGAAATTCCNTTTCTGTGTGGATGATATGATATCTGGTGGCAATTCAGTCGGGGAAGTGCGAAACATTATGGTATTCTTTCTCGAGGTAATTTCCAATTACGGAAGTGGTGCTCCAACAGCCCTGATGTCCTTGGCGATATTCCCCAAACAGAAAGAGAAAGCTTTCTCAAATTCGATCACGGCAGTGATATCACCAAGGCTCTGGGAATAGTATGGGATCCGTTCAAAGACACTCTGTTGTTTTCGTTTTCGCCAATCCGATGTGGCAGAAATTCCAAACGCTCTGTATTAGCTACCATAGCTCGTTTTTACGATACACTTGGCCTACTAGGCCCCACTCTGACAAGGGCGAAAATTCTTTTACAGCGAATGTGGAGGGATAAGCTCGCGTGGGATGAAAGCTTCCCCCATTCACTGGATACGGCCTGGTCTGCCTTTTGTGAAGATTTTTGTCAACATTCAACATTCGTCATTTCCGCGTCATGTACTACAGCCTGGAGCCGCGCTTGGAATTCATGCGTTTTGCGCCGCTAGCCTTGAAGCATATGGCGCTTGTGTATATGCTCGCTCAACTAAGGATAACAACGTCCAATTACAGTTGCTATGTTCAAAGGCACGCGTTGCTCCACTGAAAACTCTGACTGTGCCCAAGTTGGAACTCAGCGCTGCCGCTCTGCTTGCGCAGTTAGTAGGTGAGATAGCCAAGATGAAGGTTTTTGACTGCCGNATGACGGTTTTTGACTGCCGTTTCTATTGTTGGTCAGATTCGTCGACCGTTCTATCATGGCTGCAGGAAGAATCTTCAAAATTTAACGTTTTCGTCGCTAATCGCATATGTGCTTTACAGGAGCTTACACAGGGGATGACTTGGCACTATGTTCCTACAACCATGAACCCAGCAGACATCCTATCCAAAGGGGCCACACCAAGAGAGCTCTTGCAATCAGCTCTTTGGATGCACGGCCCAATCTTCCTGCACAACGCAGAAATCAGCTGGCCTGAATTTCGCGTACCGCAAACCAAGCTTCTGGGAACTCGTCAAAAGGTATTACTCACATCAAATGATCGACCCGATGTATCTCTTTCATTTAAGTACATCAACTCGTTTGGCAAAATGCGGCGTATGTTTGGTAGCGTAGGCAAATTTATCAATATAAAAAAATTGTCAAGGACGTCGCAGCTCACGTCTGCACGTTAATTTGCATCGTTCAGAGAGCGCAGCTTTGGCAAGATTACGTCGCTCTGAAAAATAAGAGGTGTGTCTCATCATCTAACAGCATCTCTTCATTATCACCATTTTTAGATGACATCGGTCTGATTCGAGTTGGCGGTCGCCTGAGGCATTCAACTCTTGGCTTTGGAGCGCGTCACCCGTGTATATTTTCAAAGAATCATCCGCTGACGTTGTCCATAATTGCACATTTTCACCACAAGCATCATCATGTAGGGCCGCAGTCACTACTTGCAAGCCATTCGCTTGCAATACTGGCCCATAGGTGGCTGACTTGCCTAAGGATCGCATCGCGGCCTCACGCGCTTTTATTGTCACTGGTGTAGACTATTGTGGGCCGTTCTATTATAAGCCAGAAATGCGTAAAAAGTCACCTCAAAAATGTTACGTAAGCGAGTTAGTGAAGGACTTATCGAGCAGCGCCTTTATCTACGCTCTAAAGGGATTTGTTGCTACTCGTGGCTTACCCAGCTGCAATTGGTCAGATAATGCAACAAACTTCGTAGGCGCAAGAAACAAATTATACATCAAATTAAAGTGCTCGATCTGCACTTTCCTCAAACATTTCAGATTTAAGATTCATTGAACCATTTTCGAAATATTTGCGTCGAAAGATTTTAAAAATAACAAGAGAATGAAAAATTGTTCCATTTATTCGCTTTCGTTCCTGTTTTTGTTTCATATCGTTCAAAGCATTGCTACGTTCGTGTGCATGACGGCAGCGATGCAGCGGAATATCGGCAAAGAAAATGTTCCCTTTGCTCTATACATACATACTGCCGTACTGATTTAAAATGTTGGTATCTGCATTCGAAGTCAAACCGAGAAATTAAACGAAACGCGTTTGTACTTGGTCTGTCCAATGTATGCTTTTTGTGTAAATGAAAACAACTGTTTTAGACTAATTCGGATGCCCTCTTTTTATTTATGCAAAAAAAAACATCAAATCTTTGCGAGAAACTTCTTAAAATGCCGCATCTGCGCAGATACGACATTTTAGTGGTATTAAAGCGCAGAGAGCGCAGAGTTTACTGGTGAAGAACAAGGGTACCTACCAATTTGTAGTTTTTTCCATCGTATTAATTCAAAAAGTCGGTTTCAATTAATTTTTTGGTTTCGATAAACGTTTTTTTCAAGGTATTCATATAAACGTGCAAATGCCTCGTAACTGAATAAACCACGTAAATAAACGGGTTTTCCGTTCAAAATTTAACAATTTATGAGCTTTACTTGGATATGAGACCTTTACGCGTTTAGATAAATTTATATTATATTAAACTACCTTCTATCAAAGCCGATTTATATGGAAAATTTAAAAGGAAACAAATTTATTCACGTTTACCAATATCAATAAAGTTTCACCAAACCCAATTGGAACTAGCCATCTGGTTTTGTCAACTTTTTTCCAGCTAGTAAACGATGCCAATTCTCTAGTTGGTAAAAGCCAGGTGGCTTTTTTAGCTGGTTTTGACTAAGTGTAGAAACCATTTGGAAAAACCAGATTAATTTTCTTTTTGGTTTTTTAACAGTGTTATATGTATATGAGTCGGTACATATCAAAACTGTATGAGTCTACAGATGAAATTTTTCCACATTATTGGTACAATACGCACTGACCGAATAAATAAATAGTTTAAACTAAAACAATGTGACTAATGTCGGTAAGATTAAAAAAAAACACATTTAATATTAACTATTTATTTAAGGTGACTAAGTCCCACCATAAGTGTAAATCAGAATTGCTTATGTCCATCCCAGTCAATCATATTGTGGTCTGCTACTGTACATAGATTTTGTCATATGGTTCGATATATATCAAACCTCCCTAAGTCCACCTTAAGAAATTTTGGGAAATCTTGCTTCAAAACTAAGTCTATATGGCATTTTTCAAACGTGCTTAACTCCAACAAAAAGACTTCTCTATTTTGAATATAGCTTAACTTCCCATGCTCTTTTTCTCAAACTGCTTCCAAGATCTATTTTGTAAACATTTTTAGAGTTTTGCAATAGCTACTTTAAATATACAGCAAGAAAAGAGAGAACCACAATTTCCCAAAATTGTCTAATGATGGACTTGGGCATATGTTTAATTTTATTTCTAGAAAACTAAATAAAAAACAGAAATGGAAACCAATAATACATATGTATTTTATTTGTATTATTTATCTTATTTGTATTATTTGTAATTTATTTTGTATTAAAAGTTACATACGTCGTTCGGTTACATCAAAAATGCCTCCAATACTTCCAAATAAAGTGGGTATGTACATACGTTGTTCTAAAAAATGCTCATTGGCCTCAAATGACCAAGAATACTGTTTGAAAAGGACGTACATATCTGCATACGACAGTGTAGATATGTTGTTTTTGATCAGTATTCAGGCTACAAATCCGGCTGAATTACTGGAAAAAGTGTAGATACTGCAATATTTTTGCAGATACCCACGTTTTACATCAGTATTTATCGAAAATTTTTGCAGATACTGCACAGGTGCGAATTTGAAACTTCAATAACTTTATCATTATTTATAATTTGAAAACTCTTTTTGCATGAATAAATTCGTATTTTAAAGACGAATTCAACAATTTGAATATCTCATTTTCGAAGAAAATGCAGATACCCACATTTTAAATCAGTACGGCAGCAGCACAACGTTGTTGCATACCCATACATTCATAGACAGTATCAACAACACCGCTGCAGCGCTGTGCGCTTTATTTTGATTTGAGGATTCTTATGTTCCATTTGAAGGGCTTAGAATCAAAAGGATCTAAGTAGGTCTGAAATTTTTTGAGATAATTAAGGTTAAAGCTGATTACTTATTGTAAATTCTGAGTAAATGCATTTGAAATGATTCTTGCCTAAATTAATGCAGGTTAATTAACTAATTCAAAGAAAGTAAACATTCTTTCTCTCTCTGTCACCAAATAAAGACTATATTTAACAATACTGCTTTTGCAAACGTCAAGCTGTGAGGTTGTACTTTATTGTGCTCTGATTTTGGCTTTCTATTTGCTAAGTTTATTGTGCTAATTCTGAGTTAAAGTAGTGATAAAAAGTGCTTATGAGGATCTTAGTGTGAAATAATTGAAGCTAGGTGAAAGTTATTGGATTTTATATTAAACTAAATTTCATTAAATTTCACTAGCAAACATTCTAATCTTGCCGAGTCATTTGTTTCTATCATTGTTGTTGTATCCTTTGTAGTTAACTGAATTCATTTTGTTTTTGCACATTTGTTCTACTCTTTTTGTTTACTTCTTCTAGTAATTCTTGTCACAGCTGTTTGCGTTGCGTTTATTAAGTGTCATAATTACAGTGATACTCAAACTGTTCGCTACATTTATTTAAAGCTATTTACATCAGCTCCTTAATTGTTATAATTTATTTTGTTTGTCTTTTATTAACGAGTGTATTACATAAATCTTTCAATATGAAGTGTGATCTTGATACTTGCCAAATTAAAAGCGATTCTGAACGCTACTTATCGTGCTGGCTGTGTGATGGTATTTACCATCTGAAATGTGCTGGTTTGACGGGAAGAATTCTGGACGCTATTAATGATGGCAAGGGCCTTCGCTGGTCTTGCGTAAAGTGCAGGTCAACCGAAGTTGATCTTTTCAAGCTATTTAGGCAAACCAGAAATGGTTTTACAGAAATAGGAAGAGAATTGTCGGTACTGACAGAAAGATTTAAGCATTATAAAAATGTGTTTAAATCATTAAAATGCTTAGATAACTTGCAATCTGTTAAAGATATCCGTGTGTCTAAACGTAAGCGTCTTCATAGTCCATCTAAGGAAATTATTGTCGTTGCACGTCAGAATAATGTTCCGACTGACTTAATTAATCAATCTTCTCCATGTCCTCCAGCATCAGAATCCTCAGCCTCAAAAGAGCGTGTAACGAAATCTGCTTCGGAGCCTGAAGTATCTTCCCCTTCCCCCATTGAAGTGGTGGCATCATCTTCAAAGCCTCCACCGCCTTCCCTATCCTCAACTACTAACGCAGTAACTCAACCCCTTCCGCCGGTACTCCAGTCTGATACAAGGAAACTAGTTGTGGTTCCGCCAAAGAAGTCAATCTTTGTCTCTAAATTTTCGAGTGACACTACCGAAGACGATATAAAGCTTTATAGCTCATCAAAAATTACAACTGTCGACTTAAGCATCAGAAAATTTAATTTGAAATACGAAAGAAATATTGCTTCATTCAAAATTGACGTAAATTTAGATAATTTTAGTGCGCTGCTTAGTAGTTCTTTATGGCCCCCGGGGCTTTCGTTCGTGAATTCGAATATAGGCCCAAAAAAGGAAATAACTTAGCTAATATTCCCCGTCATAACACTGAATCGAAAAACTAATTATTAAATCTGCTTTAAGTATTTATTACCAAAATGTAAGAGGCTTAAATACTAAATTAACGAACTTATACCTTAAAGACCTTGAATGTAATTATAATATTCTTTATTTTACTGAAACTTGGCTGA